GAATTTTTCTAGAGCCTCATGCATCTGCTTTGTTACTTCCTGTGCTATCAGTTCAGGGTGTCCAAGTGGTTGCTTATCAGAGTTTTCCACCTCATTTCCCCCAGAATTTCCTTTTTGTGGCATGGAAGCCTGCATTTGTGCCTTGCTTAAATGTCTTCTCATTTTTGTTTTTGGTAGTGTCCTTGATTTAATTCCTGGGTTGATATTTCAAGATCGCTTAATGTAGGTATCTTTGTTGCTTGTGTTTAAAAACTCCTTGTGGAATGATTGCTTTTCAGAGATGTCTTCTAGATATGGCTTGTGTTTGGGTTTTGAGACTCTAATGACTCTGAAGCTATTATATTTTTCTTATACCAGGAAGGAAAACTAATTAGATCAATCACAACATGTTAGCACAAATGATATAGTCAGCAATACCATAGCATCAAGCACAGCTTAGAAAATGACACTTTGTGGTAGTTATTCATCTATCACTTTTTTTTAAATGTAAATTTATTTTTGGAATAAATAAATTATTTACGTGGCTCAAAATTCGACAGATATGAAAAGGTGTATGCTTACAAGCAAACACCATGACACCAGCTTCTTGTCCCGAGTGGAGGACCTGTTTCCATGGCCCCTGGAACCATGAGAAGTTTCAAACCTGCCACAAGGCAGGATGAACACCTTCCCAGGTCCTGCGCACAATGGCTCTGGCACTCAGCAGTGCCTGTGTCCCCTGCCGAGACTTCCTGGGGACAGACTTCCAGGGTGGGGCTTGTGGCTTCCCCAGCGGGCTGCATGAGTGGGTCCCCTCCCACTCTGTGGTCCCCATGTGGGTGCCAGGTATCTGTGATGGTTGTGCAGTGTTTTCACCTTTGTTCACACTTGCGTCTCGGTGCCCTAAAATGCCCCTGTGCCAGTGCCAGATGTGCCCCCTCCCTGGAACCCTGGAGGTGAACATTTTAACCACGCCAGGCCTAGAACCTGCCCCCTGCAGGTCTGGGTGATTCTGAGGTGAACATGAATGCCACACTTGCACACAGTGCAGTGGATCAAATCTGGGGCTTGTGCACACTAGGCAGGTGTTCTGCCGCTGAACCGCCTCCACAGGACCTCTGATCAAATCTATATGGATTTTCAATTGCTTTCTCCAGTTTTTTGTTCTGAGACAAGGTCTTGCTGTATAGTAGTTCAGGCTGGCCTTGAACTCATGGTGATCCTCCTGCCTCAGCCTCCCAAGTGCTGGGATGACAGGCCCGTGCTACCATGCCTGGCCCCATCAATTTTGAGTTCAGAAAGCTTCTGCCATCAGTAAGTCAGAGGCGGCATGCCCCCAGTTTTAACTTTCTTGAATCCATTTCTATTCCTTTGCCCCCAGAACTAAGCAGTGATGGCAGTAGCTGTGAAGTTGCCACTCTGTGCACTGTGCTCCCTGCTGTCTGGCGAGACTCCTGTGGACCCCAGCCATGCAGTGTGGCCCTCGCCCACCTGGGGCTCCTGTCACTGGTCCTGCAGTGCTCACCTGCTGTGGTGTCACCCAGCAGCACAGGCCTGCAGTTCTGCGAAGCTGAGCTTCAGGTCCAGCGCCACCTGTGTCCCCAGGCAAGTGACACCACTTTTGAGTCAGGCTCAGCCCAGGGAGGTGCATGCAGCTTCGAGGCGCTGGCCACACATTCACCCAGTCTGGGGCCCTCCTACCTCTGCTGCACAGGAGAACATCCAGGTGTGGACGCAGAGCACAGAAAGCTATGCCTTCAGCCCCTGGCCGAAGACTGTGTCTTGCTGCCATGTGCTTACTCTGTTCCGGAGTGTGAATGAGTCCCATTTTAATCAGGTTTTCTCTCTTTCATTTTCAGTACTGAGGATTAAACCCACGGCCTTCGTACTGAACAGTATCCCCAGCCCTTTTTTAAACTGTGAGTTTAGGAAGCTCTTGCCATCAATGACTCAGAGATTGTCTCTTCCTCTAATTTTAAATTTTTTTAATCTGTTTGATATTACTTTGCCCAAGCTGGGGTAAGATGTGTGATCTTGCCTCAGCCTCCCAGAGCTCTGGGATTGCAGGTGTGCACACCACAACTGACCCCTCAGGCTTTACGTCCTGTCAGCCTCACCATCTCTTGACAAGGTCTGATGTTTCTCACTCAAGTTGCTGTGCAGGGCCTTGGATGTGGCACTTCAAACGCTGGTTCCCATAATGCACTTCCGGTATAGGTTTTGCCTACTGCACCTGCAGAGCTGCCCTTGGCTGTGGGGAGACAGCCTGTGCCCGCCGAGGGGTACAGCACTGGTCAGGTCAAGGTCCCCAGCTGGGCCCTCAGAGGGGGCTTCTTCCCAGCTCTGGGCCAGATTCACCCAGGTCTGGGAAAAGTCAAGTTTATTGCACATCTCAAAGCACAACTGAAGAAAACTGCACACCGCACTTAAGGTAAAAGGAGTTTAAAGAATCCACAGACTTGGCTTAATTGCACTAACGTCCCTGGGCCTGGGAGGGCAGAGCGCTGATGACTCCCGGGAGGGCTCTGTGGAGGTGCAGGATGGCCTGAGCTGGCCACCGCCTCTCGCCCTCCCCTGCGTGGCTGGTGGCCCTGTCACAGGCTGTGTTGTTGCCATTGCCCATGGCTGGGGCTCTGATGGCTCACCCAGCAGAAGCATCGAGTGTCGCCAGGCAGAGGTGGCTAAAAAAAGCAGCCTTGGCAGCCAGGACTGGCCCAGCCCCAGGCTGGGGCTTGGGTGCCAGAGGGCAGTGCCAGGTGCGGACCGAGGCCCCAAGGATGGCAGGCTAGACAGGTGCAGGACAGAGCATGGGGAGAGACCAGAGGCCTCCTTACTTCCAGAAGATGTGTTTCTCCATGTAAGATTCAATTTCAGATGAGGTATCTCACATGGGTTTGTACTACAACAAACACAAAGGCTATAGTCAGCAGTCCCGCTCAGAGGATGTCTGGCTTTATGACGGCCACACCGCACCAGTTCAGCCTCACTCCCACAGTGTTTCACAGCTCGCTGCCAGCCCGGCAGGGGTGTGTGGCTCCTGTCCCTGGCACACACGGCCCTGGTGGTGGGGCGGCAGGTGACAGAGGTGTGTGGCACTGTGTTGTTGCACACAGCCCAGTGCCACAAATGTGGGTGACCTGGTCCTGCCTGGCCCAGCGTGGAATGTGCCAAGGTGCCGCATCTCAGGGAGGGACAGGGACATGTGACGACGATGCCGGGAGCGCTGACCTGCACCCCCGTCACCTGGCACTGCTGTCACAGTGTCCCTGCCAACAGCCCTGGCTCCTCCTGCCTGGGAGGCTCCCTCGTCTCCCACACTCAGCCTCAGGTGTGACCAGAGCCTGACTGCACAGGAGGAGCTATGCATGCAACTGGGCAGCAGCCCTGTCCCCACTTGGAAGCGACCTTGCAAGAGGCCACAGGTGCTGCCGCTGCAGTGACAGCTCTGGACACCCAGCTGAGGCTGTGGGTTCTCGAACAAGACAGGAACAAGATGGATGACAAGAGTGGGTGCTGGTGTGGCTGGGTGTGGACATGTGTCACCAGGCCAGCTCCCACACCGCCGTGGGGCCCAGCACTGGGGCCTCTCCTGGCCAGGTGTGGCCCCTCAGATGACCTCCCACTTGTCCTCCAGGTCCTCAGGGTGAGGGACGGCCGCCTGGCTGCTCCTCAGGGTGCCAGGTGCGTGGATGAATGTCCTCGTGAGCCGCTGGAGGAGGCAGCTGGGGGGCCCCACTGCCCACAGCTCATCTGACGAGGTCACTGTGAAACAATGCGTTTCCAGGGGTTTTCTTCCAGCAGTCGCCAGCAGGGTTTTTGTCTGTGACGCCGTAGTGGCGGGCAATGTCGCCGTTGGGACAGCGGGCCCACACGGTCCTGGTGCTCAGTGCCAGCTGGTAGGCCTGCAACCCTGGTACATGTTCCCAGTCAGTGCCCAAGGGCATCTCCTCGGTGATCCCAGTGCGGACATGCACTTTCCACCTGCTGTCAAGTGCCCACAGCATCTGGTCGTTGGGACTGGCGTGGACGCTGACCAAGGTGACTCCGGTGGGCTGGACGGGAGGCTCGATGATGCCGGGAGGATCAGGCTGGGATTCAGAGGCTGGGTCCCGACCCGGAAGTAAACTCCGCCCCTGGAATCACAGGCCCAGATGTGCTGGTTCCCACACGCCAAGCTGGTCAGCTTTACGGCTCCTAGCTGAGAGAGGTCCAGCTTTGTCCAGTGCATGCCGGTGGGGCAACTCTTGGACAGCGTGCGGATGAACACCTGCCCGAGGCTGTCCAGGGCCCACAGAGCATCCTGGCAGGCGGCGTAGGCGCACGCCTCAGTGTCGGGCGGCAGCTGCACTGTGGATGGCCGGCACTGCACGCTCTGGGCCCTGATGCTGCACAGGTCTTTGCTGCTCTAGCACAGCCACAGGGAGCTCCCTTCCTTGGTGGGAGCCGCAGAAGCCAGCACAAAGGCCCATTTTGTCGCAGACGCTGTCCCCTGGGGAACGACATTACTCCAGTAGGTGCCTATAAGACTTCCCTTGGGGACATGGAACTCGTTCTTGCCTGAGGAGATCCAGACGTCACTGCTGTTCACCCCCAGCAGACTGGGCTGGCACTGAAGCTGCTGGGACCAGAATGCCATGCGCAGTTTGTCCGCCACCTTCTCCACGGGCACTTGGGCCACCGTGGCCACTGAGTGCGTGTCATGGATGATGGTCTGGAATAAGCTGCACTGGTCAAACACCACATAGTCGATGATGCTCACCTGCTGCCAGTAGTTGTCGTCTCCTTGCGGCTTCTTGGGCACCACGCCGGTCCTGAACCACAGCTTCCCCCAGATGTCCAGCGCCCAGAGGGTGTGCTGGTCCCCGAGAGTGATGCAGACGGGCTCCAGGGCTTGCTTTTCACTGACGATGTCACACTTCCACTGCTCCCCCTCGGGGCAGAAGCTGCTCACGCCCTCGAGGTAGAGCAGGGCCCTCTGCTCTGTCAGTGCCCACACCACGAAGTTCTGGGCGGTGATCTGGGCCAGCGGGTAAGGACAGTCCACCTTCCCAGTGCAGGTGCAGGGGCGATCCACGCTGAGCCCTGTCTGCAGGTACACGTCACTGTTAGTCCTGATGATCCAGGCCGTGTCATCGCTCAGGGACACGAACACGGCCTGGGGCAGCACTTTGTACCAGTGCCACTTGCCCTTGATGGTAACTTTCCCACACACGAAAGCATGGTTGGACTCCTGCTCGATCTTCCAGAGCAGGGCTCCTGATCCGACTTGAGCAGGGTGGGGTCATCTGCCCCTGGCTGGCTCAGGTCCTGCAGGGAGCAACCCGCTCTGAGCTCTGTCACACTAGTCTCTGAGGAGGAAGATGGCAGCCCATGGGCGTAGATGTCCTCCTCATCGCTGGATGTCAGGCCTGGGTCCTGGGAAGGCAGCTCGAGCCAAGGCTTGTGGGTGCTGGCCGCCAAGGAGGTCATCAGAGGAGCCACCAGGGTCCCCTCACCACCCCTGTCACCTTTGGAAGTGGCCATTTCCTGCTCCCCTGTGTCATCATCAGAGACAGCAGGCCAGGGGTCTGCGCTGAGGTGGCCGGGGCCGTCCTGTTCTTTGCTGGCCCACTCCATGCCCTCTATAGTCAGGATCCCTGACAGCCACTGTGCTGACCCCGGGGCGCAGCTGGAGCTGGGAGTCGCCGTGAGCAAGTCCAGGAGTGAGGGTTCTGGAGAGGGGCTCTGGGGGCCCTTGGCCTCCATGTCCTCCCCTTTGGGGGTCTGGGCAGAGCTGGCCTGGCCTGGGCAGAGCACCTGTCCGGGGCTGGGCTCAGTGTTCACAGGAACAGGCTGTTCTTCGTGTCCTTGGTCACTTCCGCCTTCCACACCATCCCTCGGGAGCAAGGGCAACATCAACACCCCAGGGAGCAGTGCCAGCTTGCATGCAAGGTGACACTGTGGAAGTTCAGTGGCAACGTTGTCTTTATCCAGTACATCGGGGACAGATTCGGGCACCTCCAGGACACTAAACGTTTCAGCATCATTATTTTCCAGCAAGACACCATTCACCTCGCTGCCCCCAAGGCTGCTTTTCCGGTCGGGTGACTTTGTGCTCAGCTGGTCCACACTGCTGCCCATGATACTTGAGGCCACTGACAGCTGGTCTATGCTCAGGGACCTTGGGCTGCCACTGGGGAGCTTGGAGCAGGGTGTCAGCTCCAGGGAGCTGGGAACAGCATCACTGCCGCCGCCTTCTGGCTTGTTCCTCCTCCTCCTCTTCACCCTGATGGGCTTCACAACCAGCTCCTGCTCGAAGTCCTCCAAGCTGATGGCGCTGAATCTCTGTGGGGTGGGTTGGCCACCCTTGCCAGGTTCCGGGGCAGCTGGGGGCTCAGGTGGCAACAGGCTGGAGCCACTGTCAGTGGAGGTGAGCGAGCTGCTCCGGGGCTCGCTGGCTGCTGAGCTGGCCAGGGAGGAGCCTCTGAGCCTGGTCTCCAAGGTGGCCGCCCCCAGGGGCTTCTCCAGACACTGCGCATGGACATGTTCGAGACGTCTCACCACCTCCAGACCATCCTTTGCTACTGATGCTAGTCCTTCAGGCCTGCTCAAAATTCTAATGCTGTTCCTATCTCCCTTCAAGAAGAAGATTTCATTTTCTGTGCAGGAGACAGACACAGTATCACCAGATCCTTCCAAACCAGCAATGGTGGCCTGGCTCATGGTGTCCAGAAGGTAGATGCTGTACTCGTTCCAGCTCAGCACCCAGCCCTCCCAGAAGAAGCAGGACACCAGCCCCAGGTGCTTCTTGGGAGAGCCGCAGCCCCCCCTGTCCTTGGGCTCCACACGTGGGTACAGCTCGAAGGGCGTGACCCCACCCACAAAGACATCCTTCAGGATGAAGATGGCTTGCACAGTGCCATGCTTGTCAGCCTTCCACAGCCACAGCCCAGGCCTGGACGCATACAGGGTGAGGTCGCTCTGCTTGCACAGTCCTGGTATAAAACAAGCACCAAATTTTCCAGTACTCTTCCTTGCTTGCATCCTGATCTGTTGGACAGACCTCTCCTCGGTGTAGAAGAGCAGAGTCCTCTGCAGGGTGGACACAAGCAGCACCTTCTGGCTGTAATCCAGCTGCATGATGGACGACGGCTCCTCCAGCACCAGGAGTGAGTTGCAGAGCCCCTGGTCCAGATCCAGAAAGGAATACACAATCTTCCCTCGGTCATCTCCCGAGAACAGTTTCATCCCATTGGGGCTCCAGGCCAGTGCCGTGATGCTGTTTCTGTGCACCCCGGTGACGTCAAATCTCCAAAGCTACCAGCAGGCGATGAAACAAAGGCGAGGCAAGTGTGACCGCTGGGGCTCGGGCTGTGGGGCGACCGCTCCATCTGCCCGCTTGGGACCCACAGAGAGGACACCCAGGGTGTCCCCAGGCCTCAAGTGCTTTATGCCGAAGGTCCACACGGGAACAAAAGTGCTGCCTGCTTGTTCCTCCCTGGCAGTGCGGACACGAGTTGGAACACTTCGACCCTCCCAGAGGCAGGGCCGGCTGCCACCAGGTCATCAAAGCAGCTCAGCAGCTTCACCACGGTGATGGGTTCCGTCTTCCCCTCGAAGTTGTACTTCCTCATGTGGCTGAGGCGGCAGCAGTACAGGTAGAGCATGCCGATGCTGCTGCCCACCGCGATGTAGTCCCCATTGGCATCGAGCACCGTGAGGTAGACCACCAGGGAGCGGAAGCCCTTCTGCACCTTGGCGGGGATGGCACTGAGGAGACGGTACAGTGGACAGAACTCTCGGAAGGTCACGGGGTCTGGCATCGACGCCATGGCCACGGTTTCCGCACATAGTCTTCCAGCAGGAAAGGGGGTGCGTGCTCCTCATCCAGAGAAAGCTGGGGCTCCCACGCAGCCCCTCCAGACTCGTCCGCCCCGCCGGCCCGGGAGGCGGGGATGGAGGCGGGGCCGCAGGGGCAGCCGGGAGCTCGTTCCCTGGCAACAGGGCCCCGGCTGGGCCAGCGGCGAACGACTCCGCCTCATCTATCACTTTTAACTATGTGAGTTAAATTAAAACCAAGGACCAACCCAATGTAAGTTTATAATGAATAAGCTCTTCAATATAGGATCTTTCCCCTTCGGGGTGGGGAGCTAAATGGAGTTGGGGAGGGAGGGACAGGTAGAAAGAACAGGTAAGATGAGCAGTGAGGCCAGAAGACACAGAAAGATCACACAAACTCTAAGAAGTTGTTAAAGGCGAGAGAAAATGGCAGAATGAAAGAACAAAGATGTGACTAGAACCACCTAACAGCAACAGGGAGGCTGGATACCGGATTTACTTTCCTTTAAACCTAATGATAACCAAGAGAAGGAAAGAACAGTAAGGGAGAAATCCGACTTCAGTGCAGAAAGGAACAAATGGGGAGATGAGGGGCAATGGGGGACAGACAGTGAGAGAATGAGAGAGAGAGAAAGAAAAGACAAAAGAAAGAAAAATAAAACTTTGAAGAGTAGAAAAAAAAGTAAAAATTAAGAGTTAAAAATAAAAAAAATTTTTTTTCTTTTTTGCAAATAGCAATAGAAATTATGGGCCTCCTTCAGGGTATGTCTCTGTTGTCACAGTAGGCAATGTAGGAATCTCTGTGCATACACAAGTCAATGAGTCTCAGCAAGCC